TGTGCGTGTGCATGTGTGTGTGTGTGTGTGCGTGCGTGCGTGCGTGCGTGCGTGTGTGTGTGTGTGTGTGTGTGTGTGTGCGCGGGCCTCTGTGATGGGTGACTGATGTCGACTTACTGGTGCCAGGTACATACATTGATGGCCTCTGCTCCACTCTTCAAAAACCTGAGGCAACAATTTCAGAAGTACAAACTTATTGAAAATGGCACTCATAAGACAGGATATGATGAAATGATTGATGAGAATTATGGAGTGTTTATTGTGTATCTGCTGAGACATGAATCCGGGGGGGGGTGACATGAGGCTTCATACTTCTCCAGGAGGGTCAGCCGATAGCCACGGGGCTGGCTGATGTCTGGCCCATACAGGCTGGCATCACGGTACAGCCTAGATGCCTGCAGGATCCTGCGGAGGTGCATGAAGTCCTGACCCAGCTGGTGTCCATCCAGGCGAATACCAAATTTCTTCTCATAACTGTTGGGCTCTGGGAGAGGTGAGAGAGAAAGGAGGGTTAGGGAGGGTCCTGTGACTCCTCCGTTAGATTCCTGCATTTCCTCCAAAACAAAAGAATCTGATCATTTCCTGTGGTGTCTACCCTGGAGGTCCTACCATTGCCCAGCTCCCAGGACATGTTGTACCCCTTCTGCTCACAGTAGGCTAGCAGGGTCTCTGCGTTGCGGCTGTCCCACGAGTTGGTCTTGGTCCGGAGCGCAGCATTGAGCCCGAAGATGAGGTCGAAACCCGAGCAGTTTGCGAAACTGTACAGCATGTCCATCGCATCTCCTGGCAATGAGGAGTCTTTTTACATTCATTCATCTTTTCAAAAGTTAGACTTGATTAGTTATGGGTTAGCCTGCATCATTAAACAGGAAGTTAATCTAACAGGTAGCTTTAGCCTAATTGGAATGCCGATCGAGAATGGAGGTGGCAAACCCCGGAATGCGGAGGCAAAATGGTTTATTAAATAAACCGGGTGCAGACAAATCCAAAGGGGTAATCCAGAAACGTGGTCGGGTCACAGGCGATGGTCGAATACCGGGGTGGTCAGTCCTACGTAAAGAGACAAGACGGGGGTTCTGATGGGACAGGAGGAACAGGACCGGTGAGGGAGCAGGGCAGGTCAGGGCAGGCAGGCAAGGCAGGATGGAGTAGGCGGGTCGGGGGAACACACGGGGCAGGCAAGGGAAGTAAGGCAGGCAGGTAGGACGAACCGGGAGGACAAAAGACAGAAATACTGTTTAGTAAGGCTCATTCGGAATGGCAACAATACTTCGCAAAGCATGACGGTTCCACTGGTCTTAAGTAGCGGAGCAATCAGCTGTTGATCGCCTGCTGGTGCGTGGTCCCGCCCCGTGTGGGCGTGACACTAATGGCGATGAACAAAGAAACTTTAAACCTAGTTCATACTTTACTTTTAAACGTGTGCTTTCGGGCTGAGGACGGTTGTGGGTGCAGCAGCTTGTGTTCATACTACATTTGGCTGCTGGCTTGGATGATTGTGGTACAGCAGTGATATTCCCCCAGAGCAGGAGAGGGCAGGTGTATCACAACAAGCACAAACAGCAGCAGTGCAGTCTAACAGGCACATTTTCATGAAAAGTTTCAAAGTTATTAGTAAGGGCTTGGGGAGTATTACAGTAATAAGGTGTACCCCAATATTTTGAAATCTCCACGATAAAATTAGCCAGAACCTTAACCCAAGCCTCCACCCCGCCATTCCAAAATGCCAGAAAAGTGCTGCTCTTTAAAATACCATACACCTCGTATAACGTCTGGACAGTTTGAAAAATTAGATAAGCAGGTACCTCCGACCCTCCACCCAGCTGCTCACCATAACTACTACACAGCGACAACAACTATTCTTCCTCTACTCTTGTCGTTGACTGCTGAAGCCTATACTGCCATCTACTAGAAGTACCTAATCATTTATCTTGCACATGCGCGGTCGATACACAAGGATGCGTAAGGTTTCCCCTAGACATAAAAATCTGTGGTGAATCTCAATACCAAGAACACAAAGACCATACTTGAGGTCTTGGCAAGACCAGTTTTGCTAACTTGCCTTCTAAGAATGAACTTGGGGCTCAATGCATCATGGGATTGGTCTCGTTTGGCAAGGATGCGACCGATGCATCCTTGACATTTGGGGTGGAGCAAGACCAACATCCAGGGACTTTTACCGTCCTCTGTACTTGTGTTCTTAGTATTGGAACTGGTCTTTGGCGATGGAAGATGATGTAAAATGAGTACACGAGAACAAGTATGCATATTGAGATTCACCCCTGGCTACACACAAACTGACAGCCAAGTTGTCCGCAGCTAACTCCTGATGATGAAGTTTACATCACGTTCAGAAAAGTGAAGTTTAAATTGGTTTTCATTCACCATTAAAAGGGCAGATCCTACTAACCATGTCACAGGTCTATTGAGGCACATTCTTGCACACACTACCTGAGAACTTGATTTTTCCATAGCTGCTCACAGTTTCCTCTTCCTGAAGAAGCAACTGCTGTTGAGGCCAATCTTGCTTCAGCCTCTCCTCCAGGTCTGCAGGCAGGACCATCCCATCGCACAGGCGTGCAGCTGGCAGACAACCAAAGACACTCTTTAGCACATGCCCCGCGCCCATCCTGTTGAAAGCAATCCAATGATTATGGATAGCAGGTATCAGACAGAACGGCCCTACTGGGGAAGGTTCTGGACACTACTGGGGTAATGGTGGGAGAATCACCCTGCTCTTTCCAGGGCTCTAAAGCCACCAGCGTTAAATCACAGCCCATCAATTCAAATTTTCAAAATCATTTTCAAAATCATCAAAAGGCATAATCTCTGGTAATAAGACCCATAAGGAGTCATCACTCTACAAAAATCACCTCTTAAATGGGTTCTTGAAATGGGAGCCAAGTGGAAAGAAGTGGATTTTACAAAATCTTTTGTGATTTTTTTTGTCATTTTGGGATTAGACTAATTTCATGTAAATATTACGTTCCTCATATTAGAATATGGTAAAATATATAATTGCAATCTAAATATTTAGATCTGAATTTTCGCTCCGTATAATTGGGAACATCTGGGCATTTTTCCACTGCATAAGGTACCGTACTTCTGATACTAAAAGTACAATACTTCAAAGTATCGGTTTTCCACTGGCGTTAAAAGTGGTACCGGGGCCGAATGACATTACAAGGTGAGGCGGGTTTTTTTGTACTGAAATTGAAAAATTGCTGTATAATATTATACGGCTTGGCGATGTGCAGTATTAACACCAACATCGCATGTTATGCACATACAATTCTTACATCGCTAGCTATACTAAAATAAGTTTTTTTTTCTTACTTTCAATTCTGTACGAACATTATAGCACTGGGGGTAAAAGTTTTGCTAAAATATTTTTACTCTGTTACTCTGTCGTAGGAAATTTTCTTCCTTTTATAGATTTTTATATGTTTAAAAATCAATTTAAAGTTAACCTCCGCTGCTTTTGGATGAGCGCTGCATGCGTTCTCCGAGACATAATCATTTTAATCTTTGCCGTTTAAATCGCTCGAAGACGGGTTTGTGAGAAATCTATTAACTCCTTTTTTGTTTTATAAATATCTCAATATTTATTACAACAAAATCACATCACTATATTTATAACAAAATGTCACTGCTAGGACAGCACGCTGTATTGGTATATTCAACAAAATACTTTTTAATTTCTTATCGGTGGGTTCCACATTCGCCAGACATTCACAGGTGTTCTCTGTATTTAGGTCTATTCAATTAAAACATCACAAGAACAAGGAAAGTCACTTCACAAATTCGTGTGTGTGATATTGCATGCATACCTTGGTTTTCCAATTAGGCCTACTTCATCCAATCAATTGTGAAAATGCAAAATAATGCAGCTCCTGCTGTGAATTAACGCATTCGCTTGACTTTTGACAGTCCGCGAAGTTTCAAAATAAAAGTCCCAAAAGGAAAAACAAGGAATTTCTTAAACGGTTATTATAGAAGACATACAACCCATTGAAAGTCCAATCCAATGTGTACATACGTGCACTAAATCGCAAGCACATACAGGACCCACTAACACTCGTAAAACTAAATAATAGTATAGGCTAACATGTCCATTATTTTTGTATGCAGATGGAACCCCGGGCATCCTAAATTTCAGCTTGTGGTTAAAAAAAAAAACCTTCACATATCCGGTACTTTGGCGAATCTCTAGGTAATTCATGAAATTTAGGCTACTTTTATGTGCCACAAACCAGCACAACAAAGTAAATGGGAACCAAAGTTGAAGACAAACAGAAGGGGTTTTATTAAACAACGGATGGCAAAACAGAAAAGAAACGGAGACTGCAGGGAATCCAAAGCAGGGAAGAAAGGGCACGGACAAACACTAAGGGAGCAACACTAATAACCGATCTGGGGAGCACTGGACTAGGAAACATTTAAATGCTAGGCTACGCTTTCTCATGTCCTTTGACCACAAGCTGAAAATAATGAAAAGGTTTCTTTGTCTTTTGAGCATTAGGATGCTATATGTTCCACCTGCATATAAAATATCCACAGACATTCACAGATCTTCTTTGTATTTGCTCTATTATAACTTTAAAAAATAAAGGACACGCCCCATTCACAAATTCGTGTTTGCAAAATAACATGCACACCTTGGTTTTTCAATTACTTCATCCAATAAATTGTGAACATGCAAAATAATGCAGCTCCTGTTGTGGATTAACTCATTCGCTTGACTTTGGACTGTCCGCGAAGTTTCAAAATAAAAAAATTATCTCAGTTTCACCAGCAAGTCTTGCTATATTGGAAGATTTTATACAACCATAATTTCACACCACACAATACACCACTTTGGAATAATAGGTACATTACAGTTAAAAACAAATCATTGTATGATAAGGATTGGATGGAGAAAGGCATTTGGTCAGTGTTCCATTTAATGGAAAAGAGTGGTGTTATATCATATGAGAGTTTCTGTATTAAATATTTTAATTGTAATCGGGCTAAATTTGAATCAGTTGTTAAAGCTATCCCTAATTCCATAATAAATCTGATTAAAGAGACTCTCCTTTATTATAATACCATGACCTTAAGTTTACCTTCACTGGTAATTGAAGGCTGTAAATTCAAAGAAGGTAAATTATC